TCCTGGTTATGAAAAAATCATTGTGAGATTTTTAACTGGAGCCGAATTATCTGCAGAGGTTTCCTCCTCTCCAAAAAATAAGATTGGTAAAAAATGGTGATACAATTTTGAATCAAGCAGTTTTGCTTAAAACGTATTTTTTTAACACTGCTTAGAAGACAACTATGTCCCGTTTAGCAGATAACTTAACATCCAGACATCCAATGATTAATAACTTTTATCTGGTGAAATTATATAGTTAACATAACTATACGTGCATCTCAAAACGAGCAAACAACTACAATGCTAATAAATGCGCCAACGGAAAACAACGCCATTAAAAGAAAAGAAGCGAACAAATGACCGACCGTAAGCATGATGGATTTGTCTAGGTTTGAACATTGTTGGAAACATTTATGATGATGCAAGAGCACAACTCAACAACATGTATAACATACATGTAACCGTTTTGAGACATGTAAGAACTGGAAATGTTACATATATAGCCTACCTATAAATAGTGGATGACTAAATATTTACCACTAGCATACATGTAACATCTGAGATGCCATGTTGGAGGTCCCTGCGGAGAACAGTGATTAACCTAATTAGTTTGCAGTCTAATTAGAGAAGCTGATTGAACAAATCAAACACATTCTAAAGAATAGGAGAGATCCGAGGAGTCCCAGAGGAGGATAAGGAGGGAGACTATGAGAGCGAGAGAGCAGGTGAAGGGGGGAGGAAGGCAGATCAGATGTGACAGAGCAGATTCTGTGCTGGGAACATGCTGTGACCGAAAAAGGAAATGAGCGAATATATAAATTCACAAGTAGACAACCGGGGAGGAGAAGGGACAGCATGTTGTGAAAGAGGAGGATGGTTATGTAAGAGTGTAGGCTTGGAGAGATGCTACAGTATGAACTCTGCCATTACTCAATGTTGACTCATGAAGAGTTCAGCACACAACATTTTAAATTAATGTGTTTGCCTTTCTAAGTGCCTCTTCAAATGCCACATATAGGCCGCTTTATCTAGTATGTTTTCTATTTAATTTGAAATGCTCACCCTATACTGAGGGGCAGCGGAGGAGCAGCGTCTTCTGGGAGATGGAGTTTCTTCTTCTCTGTCCTTTCGGTTGCAGTCCAGTTGGACCCGGCTCTCACACTCCAGATGACAGGTGTAGCTACAGTCTGGGGAACAGAGAAACATGCTGTCAGAGAAAAGAGCACACACAGTAGGAGAGAACCAAATAATAATGAATAAAACATTACTAAACATTGACCTAACACTGTGATCAATAAGCCTCAGGAAATTCATGTTGGAGAGTGTCGTGCTCAATTGTGAATTCAAAATGAAGTTTTAATCAAACAGGTACAGTCATATAAATTATCCCTTTACAGAGAATTTGCTCCATCTAGTGGCCAATGCCAGACTGCCAAGGCACCAGACTGCAGAGCGACAATGCATCAACAAAACACACCTAAATACACCTTTGTTTGTAGAGTGAGACCTGCACACACAATACTTCATGTTATAACTTGTATCATTAGAAAAGTAATAACAACTCCTTTAAGATCCACTTTTATACCTTCAACCATTAGATGGCAGGAGTAGTCTTCTGTATACTCAATATATAATGGATATACTGCACAAAGTCAAGCTAAGAAAAATAAAGTAAAGAAATACAGAAAGTAGTATTTCATTTCATTTCAAACCTTTATTTAACGAGATTGGTCCCATTGAGATCATAGATCTCTTTTTCAAGGGAGACCTGCAGAATAGTATATAGGCATACTGCAAACAATAGAGCAGCTTTTGAACGGCCAACTCCCATCTTACTGCTAAGCAAGAAAAGAATAGATTTAGGTGCTTCCCCCAAGGTTTCCTGAAATAGTCCACTGTTCTCTAATCTGTCGCTGGTCCCACATGTGACAGCCTCGGCTTGTTTATGTCTGGCAGACTTTATTGCGGCTAGAGGTTTTCCCACTGAGACGCATAGCCTCACATCTGACTTCTCCGCTGTTGGTGAGATAATCCATGCTAAAGAAAGAGAATTTTTTTTTAAAACCACATGAGCAGAGAGCGAGAACAGGGGGGGTTAAACTACGAGTCAGACCCTTTTCGTGGTCCTCACGCAGGAACACTCCGTGAATTCAACTCAGGCTATATAGATTTGATTAAAACATTATTATATTTCAACAATGTTCAGTTTTAGAAGCCGAAGCTATATTATTTTCTTCAGAACAACACATCGTTCTCTGGTGCGCCTCTACATGGCTGCTGTCAAAGAGTTGAGATCTGCCCGGTTGTTTTTCTGTCTGCTGATATTAGCGTCTCTGTCTGTGTCCTGCTGAGAGAGGGACACCACTGCGTCTCGCACGTTCAGCATCGTAACCATGGCAACAAGCTTCTTGATGACCATTGTAAAAAGGGAAGAGCTCAGCTTACATAATTACACCCATTAAACAGCCATGTGTAGAGGGCTTTCTGTTATGCATTAGAAAAACTATTCACTTTTATGCCTGGGATTAAGGTATTTTCAGTATATCTTGTTTGGGGGAAGGAGATGCTTATGTAATGGCAGGTAAAGAAGTAGAGCTGATTATAAAAGCAGCAACAAGGAGGATAGAGTAAAGGGAGACATGACAGGGCGTTCTGACTGGAGGAATTTGTGTAGCAAAAAGGAAAGTTCAGATAGAGGATGCTTTGCTCCTGACAGTTTGAAGGTCAGCGCGTTGAGAGAGGGAGACAGACGTAAGTATGTGTGTGTGACAGAGAACGGTTGGCAGTGAGAGACAGAGGGTGAGACGATAGGGCTGCAACGCCTCGCTGACAGGAGGGATGTGAGGAGGAAAGTGTAGAGTTCAGATAAGGGATGCTCTGCTCATGATAGTTTAGAGGTCAGTGCAGAAAGAGAGGAAGAACGGAAGCACAGGGGAGGGGAAGAGAGAAACTCCTTTCCTGTCCTGCTTACTTTATTTACTCCATCCAACCTCACTCTGGATCACAGACTGTGCCTCTACTTCTATATATTGAAATAATATAATATATGGGAGATAATCCTTGCTTTGTTGCAGTTGGATGAGAATATTGACACTACTCTCGTATCTGTATAGTTTGAAGCTGCCATCAGCAGCGAGCTAACTTAGCTTATCACAAATACTGCAACATTGTGACGGAGCTTTCCTGGCTTTATTCAAAAGTGCCAAGATTCATGATGCCTATGAAACAGTTCGTAACAAATGGGCATTTAGAGGAGCTGGTACGTTGATAAACTAAGCTGGCCACATACTGTAGGTCAATTTTTTTGTTGCCCTAATGATACGTGAACTCTGTATTAAGAGTTATTATGCTTATTTCACAAAATGTCAAACTTGACATCCTCTTGGTACAAAGAAACATGGAAACTAATGGAAAATAGTGGCCAGTGGTCAAGGACTGCAAAGATGAATTAAAAACTCCATTTGTTGTCATTCTCAACACTGAGTGGTGGTTACATACGTCTTTCTCCTGTTAATTGATTAAGAAGACAGGAATTACTGCTGGGCGTACCGCAAGGAATATGGGCGGAACCCCGTTCCACACCCACAGTGAGATACACCACTGTCAGCAAGTCACGGTCCACCTAGGATCCTGAATATTCCCACACTGATAAGACAAACTGTCTCTCACTCACACACATATACTGTATTTACACACGAGAAATTGACATTTGAACCCAGTTCTGCCTGATTCTAAAACATACACATAACTAAACAGACAATTGTGGCAATTATTTTGTGATAGCGCAGTGTTAGTTTTTGCTGACTTCCTTGTGAAAATATATGATCCACACCCTTAAAAAACCCTAGTGTTTTGATCAAAGTTATTACAAGGTTTTGGACCAACCTAAATTAGGTGGGTCAGACTTTTTCTTGTATGCATACGATGTGGACATTGACAGGCTCGCATTATGCTGGACCTCCTTAAGATGCAGCCTATGTGAGTGCTAATGAGCGGTTTAAAAAACTGCAGCAGCAGTCCAGTGGGCCAGAAGGACTCTGAAGGTTATGCAAACTTGCTGACACCAACATAATCACAGACAGACGAATGTGAAAAGAGAAAGCAAGAGCGTCAGCAAAAAAGGACAATTTTTCTGATGTGACTTTCTTTGTTGGTTGAATTCCTGACACACGACTTCTCTGCTAGACTCTATGTTTGTGCTTACAGGGGTTTTCCTTGTTGCTCTTCTATGGAAAGTACACAACTATTGAATGGGGAAGTGGCTTTAACTTAAAGATGGCGATAGGCCGGTTCTGCTTTTTTCAATTTTTAGGAGAAGTTGTGTTTAAGTCAAGTGATAGGAATGCCACTAAAGGTTTTGTAGAAGAACCTCTGACGTTGGATTTTGCACAAGAAGAAGTCATCCAGTCTGGCTTCCTTCCTATCCTAACGCCAGAACAATACGCACACAAATCAACAATAGTGCAGTAAATAATGAGAGGGAATGTTTGGCTGTATTTCATATATTAACCTGTTACTCAAACACACTCCATTCTTTCAAATAGGACTGGAAAGTACCGTGTACTTTTTTACTTTGATTCTTTAAAGTCTGTACTGAACCAGGAAAAGTAGCCTTTACGCAGTCTGCTTCCTTTGAGTGAACATTACTTTACACATTAACTTCAATAACCTGTCCCAACAGACTCTTTTAAGAGTATTTATGATTTAAAGGCAAGCTATTCCAGCTATCAGTACTATGCTATATGAACTATATGTTTGGTCAATTCTACATGTGGCTGTTATGTTAGCGAGGACGCCCCAGTAAAATATACTTAATCACAGCGAGGTATTTCCTGGTTAAATAGAGCTATTAAAAAAAAGTAGATACTTTGACGACAATCATAAACGTGCAATAACACCTGCATGCTGCACCAAGTGATGACTGTAATGAAGTTGAGCCATAAACACTCATTAGCATGTGGTCCCCCCGCACAAAGGCCAGACTCTCCAGTCTGTGTTGTCTCAACAAGAAGAAGGGCCGTGGTGTTGTGTGTCTCCACGGTACACCGGCCTCGGCTGCTCGTCTTCATCAGGAGGATCGTGCGCAGACTCCCTCTTTGTCTCTCAGGCCATCTTTCCAGTCTGATTGCTTTCAAAATGACAACGCCTCCAGACAGAGCTGGACGACGATGCAAATGGATGGAGATGGAAAGAGAGAGAGTGCTAGGAAACTCCATCAGTGCAGTGCAAAGTGATGAAGGAGCTTTAATGTGGAGTATGCAAAGATCTATATGTTGTGGCTGTGTTAACTTCAACTGCTGCACTCGGGTCGATAACTGCCGAGGGAGCCAGGAAAAGGAGGAGCTCGATAGCAGAGTGTAAAAGGACAATATTGTTCTAAAATAAGAGGACATTCGGAGCGGAAATATTTCGACTGTTTTCTTTCTGTCTCCTTGAATCTATGATGTTGTCTGTCCACTCCTATTATTCTCATTTCTGCACCATCTCCTCTAACGTCTTACAAGATAGGGGATATGGGTGGTTGTTGTTTTTGTGGGAGACAGTGGGTGTGGGACAGATATGGGAGGGTAAAGACGCAGATTAGCAGAGTTTCTCAGGTCATGGAGGATGTCTGTACGGCTCCAGATAGAGACATTGGGAGGGGGGGAGGATAAATAGGGGTAAGTTAGCTATAAGGCAGTGTTGATGATATTAACACGGTCTCTAATGAACCTAAAGGGCGCCCTGCGGGTCTTAGGCGGGACTTAAGAGCAGCTTTGGGGGGGCTTTAGCCAGTCTGATCCCATCACAGCTCATTTGGAGCAGTTATCCATGTTCTCCTACTGTGAGGCTCACACACCATGTACTAGTACTGTTCATCATTATACAAATATCTAAATAACACACTCAATGAGCTCCCAGGAGACTCACACTCCATATGCTGACCCACCAGTTCAAATCTCTAACCTAAATAAAGTCTGCCCCAGTTCCTCTCTGACATCTGTGAGTGTTTGTGCACAAACAGTAACTTCATTTGATTTGACTGACATTCTTTATCTTCATCAACCCTGCATCTCTGTCTTCCCTTCCTCTAATTCCTCCATCTGTTGAGCCACAGACGCTCCCAGACTAAAACAAACAAGAGAAGATTCACTGCTTATTCTAATGTCATGGGAGCTGCAAATGTACACAGCCATGAATGTTTCATTTTATATCAATACTTAGCGTGTGGGTTTGGGGGATTTTATGTTATAATTAGTTCTGTCAATAATTCTAATTACATTATTGACTTATTGTACAATATATTGACATGACCTCAATATTGACCTTGTGTTTAAATGCATGTCGTGTGTACAAAAGTATGTCACCAGCCAACATGATGCCAGAATAAGAAACACGGTTTGACATCCCATGATAAGACGTTTGTTTATTCTTTTGGTTGCGTGGTTTCATTTATTTTACGTAATGTATTTTTCACATTTATTTTCCAATGTCTGAATATTCATTGGAAATAACACAGTAAATGCTCTTTGAAAGAGTGAACCTGCTTTGTTATGCTATTATCAATTTGAATGTAAAATGGCGATGATAAAGTTTATCGCTGTATTTCCGGGACAATGTTCTGGTCCATTTGGAAAAAACAGACTCTCTGTAAAAAGGTTTTTAAGACCAGGCACAGAGAATGGCATCATCAGGTTTATCAGACTCTAGAAAGTTACCCCAAAGGCACACAATACATCACACAACTGTTTTCAAAGACTGAGTGATGAGTAAACTGACCTTTACGTGTCAAATCGGTGGAGTGCCCCAGCATTATGTATTTCCTTGTAAACACGAATATCATGATGTTAGCACATTTGAATTCCCCAACATGTTACTGTATTTGTAGCCGTTCAGATTATTTGGAAATGTCCAGACAGCATCATCCGTGATTATGATGTTTAGACAGACGATAATAATAGGTAGAAGAAGCATAAAAACAGGAACTGAAGAATCTGGTTCGGGCCAGTTAAGGATTAATAACTAGGTTTCCCTACAGGGAACACAATCTAAAAATACCCATTATACTGTCTGCGGTAATCGTACTGTTGATGCTGTTTCTGGAGCTTTTTGAGGCTGCAGCATGATGTCACTCAGGTGACCCATTGAGGAGCATCTCACTGAGTCATGTTGGGTCAGGGTCTTATCAGGCTTACACAGGAGGAAACATACGCACATACAAAAAAGAGTAGTAACATCTTTTGTCAGTCTCTTGCTGACAATGAATCAATAATTCTGCAGCATCCGGCCATTTTTTACCCACCACTTTTTACCCATGCCACATTGTGTGCTAATGTTACATTATGTATTCATCGCCTTCTAAAAAAACTGCATTAGCCGGTTCTGTATTTGGAGGAAACATGGGGAAATCAATACCTTGCAGCCTCCAGCAGGCTCACCCTTATATCAAATTCCTGCTACATATATGAAAGTCAATATGTTAACCCATTTACAGAGGATCTTCCTGACAGATTGTGAAATTGGGCAAGTCTTTTCAGTTTGTGTGCGTGTTGGTGTGAAGCAAAGAGTAAACTGCAGATCCTATAATGCTTTAATTTGACCTGTTTACTGGACTATTCTGCCATTTACAACCCGATCTGCAGCCTGTGTCCTCACTGATCCCACACACATGGGTTTTTACACAAAAGCGAGTGGAATTGATCAGTCGATAGAGAAAAAAAAAAGGGGGGGGGGGGGGGGCAAAGAGTGACAGGGCTTGCAGTTAACAGATAGACAGCATGATGCACACCCAAATATTTTTGGCTCAAAGCCGATCGTTGAGGCCAACCCGCTCAACTTGTCTACTCATCATGTTTTCCTTTTTTCCAAAATACTGACCCCTATCACCAGCAGCCTCTGGACCTCATATACAACTTTGAAATCCCAGTTTTAACCACTTGTACCACAGATGAAGGATACGTCATTTATTAATCCTCCTAATTTTCTCTCATGGGATTAATAAAATGTCTGTTTCTTGACACACTCTCCGGTCCGTACCTGAGGTGGTGAGCAGGGACCCGTTAGAGGAGGAGCGTCGGAGGATCCTCAGGCTGTCGCTCCAGGAGCGGGACTTGGGCAGCCTCTTCAGCAGCCGCCCCAGCCGGCGGGACACCTGTCCAAAGCAGGCACTTCCCACCTCCCCCTCCGAATCGCCCCTGACCTCATCCAGACGCAGGGACACCTGGTCCAGTAACATTCTGCCAGCCCCGACGCCTTCACCTCCTTCTGACACGACCCCCTCCCCTTCCTCATCCTCCTCCTCCTCCGTCTGCCCCGGGACGAGAGGTGCTATCTGTGCCATGGATGGCGCATGGTGACACCATCCGGCAGGCACCAACCTGTGCGCGTAGCCCTCGGCGGTCCTCGTGTCCTGCGCCCGGCCGCCCCTCTGAGGACTGCCCCAGCCCCAGCGCCAGCCCCCCCAGTTCCCCCCTCTGCCATCCCAGCGCAGCCACTCTGCCACCGGTGCCACGCTCCGTATAAACAGCCCCCTCTCCACCCGCTCTGCCACCCCTCCACCTGGACTCCTCACACACTCCCTAATGCTCTCAACTTGCCTCACACTCCCCCCCCCTCTCTCGTCTGTACCCCCCTCAGACCTCAGCGTGCGGATATGAGCACTAAATCTCTGCTGTACCACTTGTTCCTCTCTATCATCTCTCTGTTATCAATGCACCCTCATCCGCTCTCCCCTCGTTCTCTCTCCCTCTCTCTACTGCAGCACCCACACACTCTGCAGCAACAAACAGCCAGCTTAAAGAGACAGAGACCCCCTCACAATCCTAGCTTCTCTTTCCCCCCGTCTCGTCGCTCTCCAGCAACAGGAGCCTTTTTCCTTTCCGATTCCTCAGTGATGGACTGTTCAAACTCCGTTCAGTAGCGGACACCAGGGTGGGATCTCCATACAGAAGGGGAGAAACGTCACAGACCACTGCAGAGGGAGTTATTGACGCTGCCTCCTCCCTTCTCCCTCTCCTCGGTGTGACACCCTACAGCACTGGTAGAGGAGAAGTGAAGCATCCGTCCTGTCTAACCCCTCAACGGTGACATATCTTGCCAGGAAGAAAGCATCACCTCAAATGAGTGTGCATGGGTGCTGGTGAGTGTGGGTTGAGGTGATACGTAGTCAGTCCGGAGGTTATTAATATGCACTGTGAAATAGAGAGAGAGACAGAGAGCTACTGGGAGTTCAAATGCCCTACTTTCAAAAAGAAAGAGTTTGTGAGGAACATGATGTGCTCCCCAGCTTCACTCAAAAGCATGACATAATCACGAGCATCGGCATATGAAGGTTATGCTCTGATCTTATGCCACAGTTTTTTTAAATGCAGTACTGACTGTGACGTTATGCTTTTATTGTAAAAAATCCCTCACAAGAATCGCTCTTAAGAATGTCCTGTCCTTTCTGCCCTCTTCCTCTGCAGTTCTCCGATAACTATCCACCAAGGGCGACCTAAATATAGCCTGGTTGAAAATCCCCACTGTTCTGTCATACATACTGCTTAGCAGCGATGCACGTGAGGAGAGCACAGAACACCATGCAGCCCAAACAACAACAACAACCCATCTTGTCTCTTTCCCTATTTTTATCAAGGTCAAACAATGCTAAGTGGTGGGCGACCTGACTCTTTCCTCGTTTGGTTAAAAAAACTGAATGTTATGCGCAGTGTAAAACAAGTGTCATGTAACAGTTTGACATGTGATATAAGAGTGAGATTCAATGCAGCCTTGTATTGAGCTTGTGTTTGTTTTTGAGACATATGAGGTCTGAATGAATATTTTGGTTGAAGTTAAAACTATATCCATCACACGTCTGGTGAAGCGGCAGCAGTGGTATGCTGGGACAAGAAGGTTACGAGCCATTTAACACAACCTATGTGTTCTTCCTCAACTGTGAATGGATCTCAGAGAGGACTGATGAGAAACAGCCGAAAGGGTTCCAAAGACAAGCTCTGTATTGTGTAGACCCTGGGAAGGGGTAAAATAAGAATGAAGTAGAGTTTAAGGAAAACGTACATCCTCAGAGGAATGCCATTGGGTAGAGAAGGCACTGGGGAGGGTCACTGTTAAGGTCTGTGGGAAATGTGTGTGTGCGTGTGTGTGTGTATGTGTGTGTGAGCATGTGGGGGCTTTCTGGAAGCCATGTGTCAAAAGCAGTATCCCTCGTTGTCTCTGCAGTGGCCAGCACATGACCTCACATCTGCTGGTGTAAATGCACTGTAAAAACAACAGTCTCCACTCTGCTTGCAAATATTCAATCACAAGTATTTCACAAATGTTTTTTGTTGTTGTGAAATCCAAGTTTTTAGGAGCTCTGATCTCTGGGGCATTCACCTCTTCCTACAGTGCTCTGACACGAGGAGCAGAGATAACCAGGCTCTCTTGCAGAATAAATAAACCGTTAGGGTGAAAATGTAAAAATCACAGCAATCCGTCAAATGATAGGGAATTCATTGCACAAAAACATTTGAGGTGTTTATAATGTGTTTGTTTACAATTACTACTCCTACTATGGAGCATTTATAACTGTTATAAATTGAATAATAAAGAATAACAGCTTTAGATATATAGTCATATTGGACTGCACATGAACCAATCCTTATAGATATTCATTACCCTCTTTAAACACATTCAGATGTTGTATTTACAAATACCAAAAATGCCCTCACATTTGCTTACATCTATATTGTCTGGTGTTATAAAGCAACAATTGGTCATCTGTTGCTTGTGCTATTCCAATTAGGTTTGAATGACAAGCATGTAAGTGTACATGCAGTAAGCATGTGTTTTTTCATGACAGACAAACCCCAGTGTGCCACAACAGCATGGTTCCCTGGAAGCTTTAATTCAATATTAATCTGACGTCTGACTGTCTGCCAGTCTGTAATCCCAACCTCTCCATCCCTCCAGAGACATAATCTCAGGCAGGAGACACCCAGAGCTGGGATTAAGGAGGCTGCCATTGCCCTCACTCGCTCCCTGCTTCCTTCCTGCCATCCCTGTCATAGCAAATGGCAAATCAAATCACTAGATAGAACACAGATCAGTCACTAACAGCATACCACCTAATCTACATATTGATACAACTGGTACACATTGGATTTATCTGATCTTTTTTTATTAAAAGATCTTATTAAAAACTGTTTAAAATTGTTTTTCATTTTATAGTAACTCTCTTTAGTGCATTACACTTTGCTTCTCTGTGCACATAGCAATTTGTGTTTTTTGTTACAAAGAGGATAGCATCAGTAGAGTGAAAGTGGAGATCCCCAAAAACACCAGATTAGTGTTAATAAAGCCGACATATGTGGCTTATATGTCTAGATCATCATTTATCAGACATGTTTGTATGCATCATTATTTTTTGCCCCATTAATGCCTGATGCCACATATGGCTCAAATCTTTGTGTGTAACCTATTTATGCATAAATAGTGTGGGGGTTGCGGTACAGCATAGACATGCTACAAATCAACCTCCAATTTTACTCCCATGAGACGCATTCAAGTTGTTTTTCTAAAGCACAAACTCAGACTAAAGCTATAGCAGTAGGAATGAATTCAGAGGATCCCAAAACATCTGAGCGCGATGAGACTGGGAGCTCTGGCGGGGTCGACAGATTTCACTTTGGGGTAAGGCCACATCACAACGATCCCACAAGCACTCGACTGTCCCGGGGGGGAAAGAGCTGCATTACTGTTTCTCTAAGCTGCATAATGCAACAAAGCCAGCACAGCTACAGGGAGGGTGATCAATTAAAGACAGACAGAGGGAGCGAGGCATACAACAAGACAAAGAGACTGAATGATGGTTGTTTACGGTTGCAAGGCCTCCGTCTTTCACTCCCTGTCATTTGCTGGGTGTAGTTCAAACAGAGCATGGCTGCATGTGCGTGCATGTGTGTGTTGTTTCTATTTTAGCAGTTTTGGTTGCACAAAAATACCCAGACATTCCTACATTTGTATTGCATGTCATAAATGACCCGGTGACCCCCTGTGACTGTAAACCGCATTTGGCTCTGATGTTTTTCCGAGAAAACGGCGAGCGGAAAGGACCGTTTGATCTTGGGTGCAGCTGCTGGCAGGAGAAAGCTATTTAATTAGATTGATCCATAAAGACAGACTAGTGGAGACAAAAAGTTCTTGGGGTTATTAAGAAACTCATGACTGTGCATGTGTGTGTTTCTCAGGGTGTGTGTGTGTGAATAGCGCTCCAGTAATCTCTGCTCTCGCTCCACTGAGCTCTTGCTGATAGCACACTAAATCAGACAGCTCTGCAGTGCTGGACAAACCCTCGCTCTTTTCCTCCATCCCTCACTCACATTGGCTCTTTTTCTTCCCCATCGTTCCTGTTCTGGCTCTGCGTCTCTCCTCATTCCAATCACCCGGCCTCCCTCCACCTCTCCTCAGACTATTTCCACTATTGCTGACTTCCCTGTTTCTAACCACTTGTAATTCTTTCCCTATCCCTTTCTTCCTTCACTTCTTTCAACCCTTTCTTCAATTGCTTTATCTCACACTGTTCTGCAGCAGCAGCAGCCTCACAGTGACAAAGCGCTACTGACAACGTGCCAAGTCAGCAGCCGCATGCACTCACACACACCCATTGACAGCATGCATGTACAGTATGTAAGGAAAAGCCAACACACACACACACACACACACACACACACACACACACACACACACACACACACACACACACACACACACACACACACACACACACACCAAATAACTCTCCAGGTTAGACTTGCAGCAGGTGTGTTTGTGTGTCAAAGTGAACACTCTATCCGGATTAAATAAACGGTATATCTGCCAGGTCAAATTGGCTTGGCCCAAACTGTCTGCGTCCCAGAGCTGTGCAGGTAGGAGTGTTCTCCTCTCAGCAGTACAGTAAAGTATACAGTCAGGTATAGGAATGTGTAGATATAACAGGTACAACATTTAAAACATTTTGGTGTGTCCTTACATACACACTCAACTGCTACTACTGTCCCTATAACATATACAAGCCTCCTGGTATAAACACATTCTAATCAAACACATAATTTCATCCCGATTACAATTAAGCTTTTCCAGAAAAGTCCTTTTTTATTTTTGGATCCAGCCAAATGCACCACTATTAATTCTAATTTCCCTCACTCTTTGAGCTGAGGCTGCAAATCCCAGAGTTAGAGCTCTGGGAGACGAAGCTGGAAGGACAAGATAATGGGATTTCCATGGAAGATTTTTGGCTGGCTCTATGGATTTTGGAAATGTCCTTCCTTTTTATACTGGTTCAGTCACAAAGGCACACTCACACATTTTCCTTTCAAACAACCACCAGTATTGGAAGAATGTAGCACTCGGCTACTTGTGCCCTTCATAGAATAATCCAATATTTACCAGAAACAAGATACAGGCCAGAAAATCAACCATCATTTTTCCAAAAATGTATTTCTGTTTCATTCAGGGAGAATAGAATGAACTGATCACACAAACTAAAAACAGTGTGCTGTTTTAAAGAGGTAAAGTTAGTGCTCAATGGCAATGGATAACTATTATCGTTTAACTCCAATTGTTATGCAGAAAAAACACTCACAGGAGAGATGAAAACATGATTTGACTCCTTACTACTTACTGTCACACTTGAGTGCCTGCGCAGTGATCTGGCGGCTACAGGCGTCACACCAGTCCTGCGTGCAGGGCTTGGACTCGAACCGGTGTCCTTCACCTTTCTCGGTCCTCACCCGAGGGTCCACTCCCCGAGGGAAGATGGACCAGGCCTCTCTGCGGGGAAGCTCGGTGCGGGCCAGCTTGACGACCCCCGTCCTGCCCTGTGTGAGCCGCTCCAGAGAGAGACTGCCACTGAGCCCCGGTGCCGGCCCGGGGGGGGAGACGCTCGGCTGTCCGCTGTCTCTGCTCCGACTGTCCCGCCTCCCGTCTGCCGCAACCCGGTGCCGGTGCGAGCCTTTGTGTCCGTTCGTGTCCGCTCCGTTTGCCATGACATTGATGCCCAACCTCTTGAGAGAAGACCCCCTCCGGCTACCTGTGTTACGGTTTGTGTAACAGTCGGTGTTGCTGTTGTAGTCACTGTTGATGTTCCCGGTTTGACTTCCGTGAAGCCCGGCTGCGGTGCGGCTGTCCATGCTGCCCTCCTCTCTGTCTCGGTCCGGGCTACGTGGCGTAGCAGGGCCGGTAGGAGCTCCGCATCCCTCCACCGGCAGCGGTCCTGCTTTCACCGCCGTTGTTCCAGCCGGTCCCGGAGACAGGGGATGAGTTCCCGGTTGTCCTTCAGTAGTGGCCGCCCCGCAGTCCCCGCCGCTGCCCGAGCTCCTCCTGAACATCATCTTATCCCAGGAAGATATCCTCGGCAGGGTGATTTTCTTCCTGGCTCCGGCCAGTTTGAAGAGCAGCGGTTCCGAGTCCAGCCTGTGAGGACCCGGGTGCTGCCCCACCACACTCATAGACGCCATTATCCCGTCTCCTGTAATGCTTGTGTGTTGGCTGTTTGGTGTGTGTGTGTTTTTGAGCGTGTTTTCACTCCGTGCCCGGAATGTAAACTCAGCTCACGCCCGCGACAGCGTGGAGTAGTGACGCGAGGGACCTGACTGCTTTAAATGCCAAGGGCGCGCTCCCTTTTTGAACGCCGGGGGCGCGCACTAATCCCTGGTTCACACTGGAGGTTTGATTAACCATTACTAGATTAATTATTAAGCAGTTATTTAATGGATATACTTATCTTAACTTCCTGAAGACTCGTTAATTTAAGCGTGTAACCACATTGCCACAAGGAATTTACTCTATGTAGCCTAATCATGTTAAAATCTTATGGAGTGAACTGTATTAAAGACAGAAAATAGAATGGAATAATCAAGAAACAAAAACCACACCAGAGACTGAATTAGGAAGTATGACATACAACACTTATAATAATGCTGATATCGTTTTAGGGAAATATATTTAAGAGCATTGTCTTACGACAATTACATTTGAAATTGTAAAGTCAGCTATTGTATGTAGTCAAATATTTATTTATTTGAGGAGGTGAATAGAGGGCTCACACAACTACTTAATTAATTTGATGTAGGTTCAAAACTGGACTTATTTTTAGGTGGGCCTACAGCTTGTCTTTAGTATTGCCTTGATGTTGAGAAGTCAGGTGATAAAAACACAAAGTAAGACTTGTTTGTGTAGGCTAGTAGAAGGAAAGTTATCAAAGTTTCCACTTTGATAACTGCCAGGAGCACGTCATATGAGCTGCATAAAACCACAAAAGCTGCATGAGTCCCCTTAACTCAACCTAGAAAGCCCCTGGCCTGAGGACACCCACATCCCTCCCACGCAGACCGAGCGGAGAACTTTCAATTTCATTATTGTACTTTGCAGTGTCACGACAGCTCACTTCTTTTCTGTTTTGTTAGAGACCTTATATTTTCCCGGTTTAGCTAATCACATCAAATGTATTGTGAAAGTAAGTTGACTGTGAACTGTATATGAGACTGTTATCACAGTCATTTGGGGCCTTATTTAATTGTTTACGTTGCCACTGTAAGCTCACAAGTGGGAACTTGAAAAGATTTTACTTTCACTTTTCAGCCTGCATTACTTCATCAAGTGAGATAACATTCTTTCTACATACAGAATACAAAAAACAAACATGAGTTTTACAGTAAAGGTTTATTTTCTCGATTTGTGTACCTGTGACCCCTTTATAAACAAATAACAAACCCTGGGACTTCCCCATGGTGTTGCTCACGCTGCTTATGTCATTTCATACACTTAATATGCTGTACTATCACTGGACTTTGTATACTTCTGCAAAAAAGGACACAATGTGGTGAGTGTAGTTTCCCTGGTTTTGTTTCTTCTCTTTTGCAGTGAAACCTACGATAACATATAAAATAATAACTTATGATACAAGAAACATCCACAGAAAGAGAGACAAATGTCACATCAAAAAAACAGTGCTGAGTGCTTGGAGAAGCTGGCCATCAGGGGTGTTATTATAGGTCACATGAAACAATTTGAATGATCAACCATTAGGAAAAAGACAGAAAACGTCTCAAGCCTTCTAAGTACAGAGATAGAGAGATATAGTGTCAGTTTGGGTGTATTAACACAAAGATGAAACATGGCCTTAGAAAAATACTAAGCTGCCTTTGCATTCACTTTGCTTTATCCTGATGGCCCATCGCTGTGGTAGCGTATTAGAAATACAATAACACTAAAGGCATTAATGAGGTTTGTATTGAGCTGTTGTACTCAGCCACCACACACACACACACACACACACACACACACACACACACACACACACACACACACACACACACACACACACACACACACACACACACACACCATTTCCTCCTCATCCATTCTGTGCATCTTATCTCTAAATTGAGATTCACATTTTATCGATTGTCTTCGCCTGCTTCCTCTCCATACAGAATGACCTTGAAAGAAGATTCAATGCATCGTCCATAACTTTTGATGAGTGGGTGTTTAAATGCAGTGCTTGCCAGAGTGTGTGTGTGTGTGTGTGTTTGTTAAGATGAGGCACTTTTGTCACAGTGTAGACGGTCTGGCCAAGCTCGACTCTGCAGGGTTCCCTGCTCCCAGACTACAGGAGAAGACAAATGCAAACCATCAACATCATCCTTTCTCACTTGGGGTATATGGGACTGTGAGTTTCCATAGAGACAGGATGTTGCTCAACTCACCTCTCAATAATGCTGTTGTTATGATGTAGTTCCCTGACCAAAATCTCCATGTCCTGCTTTAGATGGTGCATCCTTGAAAAAGAAGGAAGATATTTTTTATTAGGACAAGCGTCTCAATCTTGCAAACACACACACATTCACAAAATCACACACCTATTAACCATCTGGTCCTTCTCTCTAGGTGCAATTTCAGGCTGTGGTCCTGTTCCAGTGGACTGCAGAGTGGAAAGGATTCTGTCCAGAGCCTGCGGAGGACAGATGAGACATCATCACGAGATGCTACATGAGTTAAATCACTAACATGACCACTGAACTGATAATGATAAACATCAGATAACCATTTTGTGTTATGTTACAATATTTGATATTATTTCCATAGAAGGTGAAATGTTGACCTTATTTTGCCGCTGCTCACTCATCTCCAGGTCTGCCAACAAGCCAGTGGAGAAAGAGCAGAAGTCCTGGAGTCGAGTCTGCATTTCCAGCAACACACTGCACATACAGAAGGGACACACTTCAGTTAGTCAACTCAACATCTTTGCAACGGGTTAAAGGCCAGAGCAGAAGAGACATCCAATATGAAGGTATTTTGCAGTGTAGAAATGTGATGTGTAGAAGATAAACTGGAAAATAAATACAAATATAATTTCGAAAACAAAGGAGAAAAACTAGAAATGGTCACTCAGTGGTGCATCCCTCCCTCTCCCTCTAAACAAAGACACGTTGGAAGTCCCTCAATCATTCCTTTCATGTCCCTATAGTCAAGGTGGCAGCAAAGATAACAGAAATGTGCTTTTATTCATCACGTATCGTACCTTACTTTAGAGCTTTGTAACATTACGAGTATCATATCATCTGCAGATGCTCCAGTTCAAAATAAGACCAAACCTTTCTATGGACGTCAGTTTGGATTTGTTTATCCGAACAAAATCAAAAAGTAATTAAATGATAGCGTAAAGTCATTCATAATGTTAATATCACTTCCTAAACAAGTGTATTGTGAAGATTTACAATGAAGACTACCAATTTACTCACTAGTTTGAGAAGAAACGATGAATAGCAATGCCCTACAGTCCTGTGCTTATCTCCATATAAGCTTCCATCGTAACATCTAACAAACAGTTGTCTCATTGTGAATAAAGAGTTGTAGTGGTTGGGAGCTGAGGTGAATCTGAAGATTGTTTGACGTGTGAAAAGGACTCGAGAGGCGGCTCTGACCTGCTCCATGTCCTTGTTGAGGCCAAAAGCTCTTTGTATCTCTGTACGCAGTCGTCTTTAAGGAGAGATTTCACTCGCTTAATGTGGGCCGACAGGTGGAGTCTGGGATGGAAGAGTGACAAGCAGATTACAGGAGAGCTCAGAATGACATCCTTCACAGGCAGGGTGAGCAGGACATCACATACTCACTTCTCAAACTTGTGGATTTGCTCGTCATTGTACGCCAACTCTGTGGAGAGACACAGAAAACAGGGAGGTATTGTCAATTTGACCATGTACAAAAAGAGTAATAAAGTATATACCAAAAAAGGTAAACACATACTGCCAGTCATTCTGTCTTTGCGGTATTGCTGATGAATTGCCATTATCTTCTGCAGCAGCATCTCCATCTTATGACAGCTGTGGGAGGCAAGAGGTCAGAGGTCAAACACCACAAACTCATGAGGCCACCGGAAGGCTTTGTGCTTGCTCCCCCAAGCTAACAAAAATGTTTTAATGGTAACATTTACAAAAAATAAAAAACAGTTCTGCTTTTGATCAAGGTTAACTGCTGCAACAATCAAACAGGTACATTAACATCTTGCTTTAAATACAATAGAAAGAACTGTGACAGAATAGCCTTGGCATTGAAAGGAAGTGCAAAATGAAAACAGCCATTTGTGTTGGAGAGAAATTAGTTACTGAAGGGAGGGAGTACCTCTTGTCACTGGCCAGCGTTTCTGCTAACTTGGCCTGTTCGATCTGCAGATGGTCGAGTCGGTTCTGAAACTCTTGGATACCGCCAGCGTAAATAGGCAAGTGCTCACGGACCTGGAGAGACGGCAGCCACAGAACAAAAAATCACAAATCTGCCCCAAAATGAATGGTATACAATCCAAAACACTGGAGTTTACATTTGGAGCGTTCCGAATAAAAGTGATTTGAGTCCAGTAATGTTGCATCTCAGTGTTCCCAGTCCTACTCAAGAGTGAGGATATGTATCCCTACAAATGATGTGCAATTCTCCATTACACGTTGATTATTAAGTGGAATAATGGCATAAAAAGAAGGGGGAAAAACCCATTGGCAACAGCATTTCCATCTGCCAGTAAAGCTGTAATATCTGGCAGTACTTACCAGATGCAGCTTTTGCCTGCCATCAGCTGAACCCTGGTTTTCAGAATCATAATGGCCTCTTAGAAAAACAAAGAGGCAATGGATATGGGGAGAGAGAGTGGGAGAAAAAAGAACCAGGTTGTAGGTTAAATATCAAATATGTGATTTGTCAATCTACAACATCTATTGATACTAGCAGTTACATTAACAGAGTAGTCAGACACCTACATCACAATGACTAGTTGTATTTGCCTCTGCTGCTTTGTATCATAATACACGTCATTTAAACACACAGTTGGACATTTCAACCCTCTAAGTGAGAGATCTCAGATGTATTTTACTGGCTCAAAAAGTATTTATAAACTCACAGTGTGTGAGTCCTGTGTTCTACATTTAGACAAGACTGCAGTCTGACGGTGATCATGGCGATACTGTGCATCGCTTCTTCACACTCCCTGCGCAGCCTCATCCTGAGAAACAATGAGTGTGAGGGAGGAGGAAAAATGGAAGTGAGAAGAGTTTGATAAGGGTCATTACGTACAGCCAGTACATCACCACAGAGGCACATCAAGCAGTGCATTTAAGAGTGTGTGTGTGTGTGTGTGTGTGTGTGTGTGTGTGTGTGTGTGTGTCTCACATGTAGCTGTAATATCCTTGCAGCAGCAGCTCTTGGTGTGTGTGCAGCAACTTTATTATCCTCAGATACTGGTGGACCACTCCCACCATTACCTACAGAGAAGGGAGGGAGTAGAGGAGATCATAAATAATGTGTTGGGTGCTTTTATTACATCAAATACAAATATTAGAAAAGGCATTTGGATGGCAAATAAAAACGATGAATCAGCAGTACCTTGGAGAAATTGTAGTCTGCCACAACGTCAAACCTGGACGGGATGATTGGAGTCTCTGCTACAGAATGAATGAAAACACACCAGAAACAATCCATGACATATGGAAACACTGTAATATGAGGGTGCCTGGGCATGCAGACGTTATTTTTTAAATGTGATTACTTTACATTTTAACCAACATTCATCTTTTAAAATATAATTTCCCTTTATCTGGGATTGGCATTCACATAAATATTACTAAACACATTTTGCTTTAAAAAGCTCATTCACAAAGATGTGTGTGTGTCGTCTGAGTCACTGTGATACTGGAAAACAACTCGTATCAAAGTGCTTTCATATCTCCCTCGGGGGATATCAAAGAATAAAGAAGAGGAAAGCCGAGGCTTGAGGAAACGTATCGTTTGTTGTCTCACGTTCTCTGAAGGGCAGGCTGGCGTTTGCTTCAGGCCCGTAGCTGAGCAGGATGAGGGGCCGGGCAGGTGTGGTAGGTGGGAGGTTGACCACCTTCATGTTGCCCTCCAGAGGGAGGTCGTGACCCAGGTACAGCAGGTGTTGCAGCTGAACTGCGATACCAGTCTGAGCCGCCACTTCCTCAAAGAATACAGACACCCTGAGAGAACCGGGGGGGAGGGGGCATTGTTTTCATGTATTATATTATACTCATAATCCTGCTTTTGATCCACATGTTTTGCTTGTTGGTGGTATCATCAACTGATGAATCATATATTACAATAACCGTAACTTTTGACCAAAATACCAACATTTTTTATCATCCCACATTGCAGTACCTCATGTATATCGATCCTTAAAGGTCCCATGTCATGCTTTTCCGGTTATTACCCGTCCCCTTGTGTGTTATGAAGGTTTTTATGCATGTAAACGGTCTGCAGAGTCAAAACCCTCAAAGTACACCCTGTAGCGAGTAAAACTCTAACACAGAAAATACCTCCCCAAAACGCCTCGTTGGAGATACGTCACTGTCCATTGATTCTTCCGAGTAACTCATGATGTCATGCGTTACCCGGAACCAAATGGACCAATCCGTGGAGCCGCTACGTTACGTCCGCGGAGCCGTTACGTTAAGCCCCCGCTGATTGGTCCAAATTGAACAATCCACGGACTTCCTCACACACACACTCAGTGCATGCAGCTCTGCTGATCTCTCCTCCCTGGCTGCAGGCTGATAACAGACAGTTGGGATCGCGGCGAAATTCTCTCTGCAGACCCATTCTCACAGCGTTTATCAACCTTTTTCTTACTCAATATCAAGCCACACTTATTGTTTTTACTTCGGCTGTGACTTTGTGTGTGCTCAGGGTGAGTTTGGCTGTGTTTCGCTGTGTATCGCTAAACAAGGAAACCACACCTCCACGGAGCTCAGTGCGATTCACAACGTTCCGACCAATCAGAGCACTGTGCTCACAGGGAGGGTGGGGGCTGGAGCTATTGGAGCTAAAACGAGCCGTTAAAGGCAGAGAGTGAAATTCAATGAATACACGTAGTTTACAGAGATGCTGTATGAGAAACCAAAGTGATTTTGGAAAATTGCACAATATAAGTCTATTCTAGTAGACCTCAACAATGGAATTATGATCAGTGGAAATGGCCATGACATGGGACCTTTAAAACCCGACCAAGTAAACAAAAATACCAAATAAGCAGTGAGGCACATTTCAAATATATAATTTGCATAGCGCTGCAGCAATAATCTTTGGGCAGCCTTGAAAATAAATACCTGTGGCACCAATAACACTACCACCATAATTACAAAATTAAAGTTGGGAATTTTTTTTTGACACAAATCAGCAGTTTAAAACTCAAGTTTAGTTTTGAACAAATAAATGACGTGCGAAAGTTGTGGCATCCTTGCTATCTTTACTTCAGGTATCACTGACTCTTATCTGACAGTTAGCAAATAAGCTTTGCATCAAAGTCTTCTATGTAGTAAACAGTCCCGTGAACTGTGGACTGATCACTCTGTGTTTTATCAGATGAATGTGTGTAAAGATACAACTGTGCAGTCTTACGTGCTGTAGTGGTGTATGTAGACACAATGTTCCATGGCCTGTTGCAGAGAGAAGAGGTGAACTGGCTGCCGCTGCAGGATGTCTGTGGTGGCTTTGAAGAACTGCTCAAAACCCCAACACCTGTCCTGGTCAGCCTCCACTATACCAGCTAGAACTGGAACCAGCTGTGCCGTCAGACCCCTACTCACAGAGAGGGACAGAAAGAGGTTAAATCAAGACAATGTAAGCAGTGTGTTGTCATTAAAGACAGAGATGCATGATTACAAGCTCTTTATTTGGTGACATACTGTGAGAGTTGGCAGCTGTGAGGGAGGCGGTAG